GAACCTTCAGCACTCGGTCAAAAATTGATAACTGCTGAACTGCTTTTGCGTGTCCTGCAGTCTCCATCAGCTTCTCCGAGATAGCTGTATATTGCTTCGACATGTTCTCAGAAAAGGATAGTCTGACTACCGTGAAAAGTTGGTACAGGTCTTCCTCTGGCGTCCAGCGTCCTCCTCCGTAAGCAGGCTTTAGCTTTCTCATGACTTCTCCCCATGGAGTAAGCTCATCTGCCTTTATTTCATTTAGAACTGACCTTCGAACTCTTCCAACTAGGGAGGCACGCATCTCTGTAGCATCTAGCGGATCTACAAATCCTGCTGCGATTCTGGCTTCGATTAAGTAGTGTATTTGGTCACCTCATTTGAGAAAGTGATTGAGATACCCTATTTCTCCACAGAAACGTTCTAATTCTTTCACACTATTTTTTAAATAAGCGGCGGTAGCAGTCTTAACTCTTACCTATTCCACCTGTACCAACTCAGGATTGCTAGTATTAATTACTCGTACTACCTCCGCAGGGTTGGGAATGGGGTTGACGTTAACTCACTCCTGCGCCGTTCCCTGGTCCTGAGGTTGCATAGATTGTTCCTGAGATTCAACCTTCATGAGTCATTAATCCCGAAGTATTAGGCACCAGTTAACTTTAGGCTAGTTCAACAGTACACAAATGGTTCAGATATAAAATAACTTTTATTAAGATTTTACAAAACGCTTTTTAACAGAGAACAGCTAACATATGTTTTTCATTATTTTAAAAGACGTGAAAATGATATCAAGCCTTATCTCATTATTCACAACTGAAGCACCCTACTTAGCATTACAGTCTTATATTACAACATGAAAACATAAAAATTAAAATGTGTTTACCAATAATTAATAAGTAATACTAACAAAAAAAGTAATACTAAAAAAAAGTAATGAAAACAAATAAAAATCCTAGAATGAATTATGAACAAATATAGCAGCCTTCTTTACTAGTGGTAATCTTGTCGGACTAAAAATATTTCATGGCACTTAATTATTTATTGTAATCAAATAAATAACTAAAATAAATTATGTTTAAACATAAACAAAATAATCATAAACATAACACAGTAGAGGCCTGTGAAAAATAAATGGTTATTAATTGTTTTAAATATTATTTTACTTTCACTTTGTCTGTATATAGATACAATAGAATATAAAATAATTTTATTCTGGGACGAAGGCCCTTTAGAATAACAAAAAAGTACAAAATTAAAGCATTATATCTGGCCTAAGTAAAACAAACATAAAAAGTAAAAATAAAGAAAAAAAAAGAGAAAAAAAAGTAAAGAAAATATTAGTTAAACATACTCTGGATTATTTGTTTATTGATAAAAATTACAATCTGGCCCAATAAAGGATATTTATAATAGAGTTCTGAGAGCACATTCACACCATATTTACAAATTAAAAAAAATAAATAAGGTAATTTCAAAATAATATAAAGCTAAATAAGAACAAAATAAAATATCATAGTGAAGGAAGAAAATATAAATAATATAATAAAAATAAATGAATAAAATATAATTAAAATTATCTTTAAAAAAAAAGTAATGAAAATAAACATCTTTGACGCAGACATACCTATTTACACTATTTACAGTCGACCATGGGAACTCCGGGCCATACTTGTCCCCCTACATGTGGAGGGAAAGCGAGGCTTCAGCGAGGCTTCAGCGCTTCTTCCTCAACCACTTCACTGGTATTAAAAGCCAGCGGAGATTGAGTAAGGGCGCTACAACCACAGACATTCATGAATTGAGTGGAGAATCTAGCCATTGCCAGAACTCCAATATATACATGTTACAAAAGGTCACGGGGCCACTCCCGTTTTAACTTGCGAGGAGGATTGTGGGGATGAGTGGTGCTAGATAGGGATTGTGCTACGGGATTAGGGTGATGGGTAAGGTTCTGATGATGTTTGGAGAATTTGTCTGGGATAAGATCAAGAATAAATGGAATATTAAGGTCATTATGCAGGGTTTTATAGGTGACATAGAAGGGAGTATCGACTATTGTACGGAGGACTTTGGATTGGTAGGATTGAATGCGTTTGATGTTAGAAAATTTGGTTGTCCCCCACAGTTCCTGTCCGTAGGTCCAAATGGGTTTTAGTATTGTCTTGTAGATCAGTAGTTTGTTTTCAATAGAAAGTTTAGATTTTCTATTAAGTAGTCTGTATAGCTGGCCATAACGTCGGTCAAGTTCCTGTCTTTTCAGTCTAGTACGCGGATTCCACGTTAGTCGTCTGTCTAGGAGAAAACCAAGGTACCGGACTGTGTCGGAGATGGGAAGCAGGAAGGAATTAATGTAAACTGGTGGACAGGAATTACGACGAAGGGTGAAGATTATATGTTTACATTTGGATTCATTGACTTTGATGCGCCATTTATTGCACCAGTGTTCAATCAGGGATAGGTGCCGTTGCTGGTTTATGGACGCTGTTTCAGGATCGGAGTTAGAAGATATTATAGCAGTGTCATCAACGAAAGTTGCCAGGAGTGTATCAGGATGGACGGAGATGTCAGCCGTATAGATGATGCCGTATAGATGATGTAAAGGATGGGACCCAAAACGCTGCCTTGAGGAACTCCAGCCTCAATTGAGTAACAGTCGGAAAATTCTGTACCACAGTGAACTCGGAAGCAGCGGTCGGATAGGTAGGATTGGGGTATTAGATATAAGGACTGTGGTAGATAGGATTTGAGCATGAAGAGCAGTCCGGCGTGCCATACCCGGTAAAAAGCTTGTGCTATGTCCAGAAATGCACTCAAGCAACACTGCTTGTTTTCTATTGACGGTAGAATGTTGGGAACGGAATCCGAATTAATGGGTAGGGATTTTTCCGAAATCTATTATGGGTTGGATTCTTTTCAGTAGGATCTTTTCAAAAATGTTTGAAAGAATTGGGAGTAGGCTAATTGGTCTATAGGATGATTTATTATTTGTAGGCTTGCCTGGTTTCAGGAAAAGTATGATGATGGAATGTTTCCATAGTTAATCATACTATGTACAAAATAAAAAAAATCTATATACAAAACACATGAAACCATGCCAAGACACTTAAAACTATGTACAGTGGTAAAATATAAGTATACACTTTAAAAAAAAATAGTAAAAAAAAACATTACATTCTTCTTAGCAATAAATTATGTGTTTCTGCAGAAAAAAAAAATAAGACGAATCTGATACTAAGTATTTAAGTGATGAATTATATGTAAATATATCATTATGTGAATCATTTTGAATAATATGTAAATTTACATTAAAGCGGGGGTTATCTGACTGTTTTTGGGATAGAAATTGGAATAAGAGGGTTTTAAATGTAGATAGGGAGGAAGAATGCCGAATTTTGATAGGAAGGGAATTCCAAAAATTAACAGAGCGAACAATAAACGAGTTTTGGAACGAGGCAGATCTGTGAGAAGGAATGTAAAGGTCGGAAAGTCAAGATCTTGTGAAAAGAAAGTGGACTGAGGACTTGAATTGGAGAAGGTTGTAGGCGTAAGAAGGACGATGATTGTTGATGATTTGATAGAGGAACGTACCTAGGAAATATTGTCTTCAAATGGAGGGCAAGCCAGTAGAGGTGCCTGTTCGTTAGGATCATCTCTTCGCCGAGATAAATTCGGTGGCAGTCGTTTTCCTGTAACCCGATATCACGCGTCGAGAAGTCCCTCTTCACTTTTCTTCTCGCTATCAGGTCGTCCTTCACCGACTGCCTGACGAAATGTGCTATTACCGGCGGCGGTCGCGGGTCATCCTTCTTGCTTCTGCGGCGCTGCGCCACAACCACATCCTCCATTCCAAGCTTGATGCCCAGACCCGCGGCTATACTGGTCACCAGAGCCGCGGGTGTCTCGCCTGCTCGCCCTTTTATCCCACAGATCTCCAGCGATCTACATAATATACCCTGTTCTGTTTTGTTCAAGCGGATGCCTAAATCACTGACTCGAGATTTGAGAGCTCTATTTTCCAAGATGATCTCTACAAAATGTTTGGCTTCGCCCTCAAGATGTTTTTCTAATTTCGATAACCTGCCATTCAGTTCAAAGCTGAGGTCTCCATATTTATGTAGGGCTGTCTTCATATCTCTTATTTCCTCACTGACATGGTTATCCAGGCTATTAACTACTGCTAATATTTCTGATGCGGGTGGTTCATTACTTAAATTTTGTTTTTTTGCTTGATCGCCATTTAGGTACATCCATGTTATTGGTTTTTTGTAGATTTCTGAGCTTCTATCTCTTTGTCGGTGAGATTAAAACACTTGCCGTGATAGATAACTTTACACTTGGCGCAACTTAAATTGTATTTATCTTCATGGGCAATAGCATTATTACAAATCGTGCACAGAACCATTTTATAATAATGAAAAATAACTTACAGTTAATATAAATGCCAGTGAAGTTTTTGTTGTGATCCACTAAGCAAACAACAGTATACCTAATATTGACTTTCCTGAAAATACCCATCTCTGCTTAAAAAATGAGTGGAAAGTGGAAGTTGTGTTATGCGCTCACGGCTCCAGATTTTTTTCAAACGGCAGCCATAACATTCAAGATCTCATGTCCATTATATTAATTTTTGAATCAGTGGAGGGAATTAATCTGATAATTCACATGGTAATTCCTTTTTTTGTATATAGGGACCTTGTTTCAACCTACAAGATTCAGCTTCTATTGTTTACCTTTCTCGGCCACTTTCTAAATGGATGTTTTCTTCAATTCATCATTTCCCCATTTTTTGCATCTCTAAGTACGTTCTATACGTTACTATAACTTTTTATTAAATATACACAAATAACAGCTTGCAATTACCACACGCACCTATATACATATATATGTGAGTGTTTGTGTGTAAAAATAGATAAACTGATTGATGAAATTAAAGATTATTTTTAGATATATATTCTTATTTTTTCTAAGATAAGCTTGTCTTTATTCTTACTTTATTACTATTATTATTTTTTTAGATTCCAAGAACCAATATTCTGATTTTTCACCGAATTATAATGAAACGATTTTAGATGAAACGTTTCATCAAATGCATACAGATATTCCCAGGGATAAAATTGAAGCACTGTGTGGCAACTTAATAGGCAGGTTTGTATTGGAAATTTCATCATGTAAATTTAACATAGACATTTAGTTTACGGCGCTAGTTTATATGGGTAATCCCAAAGGCATTGTAAAACTAGGTAATCTCACTCATAAATGCAAGGTGGAGGGATTGATCCATGAAGTAACACTAGACATATCCAATTTTTGTGCAGTGAAAATAATTAAAAAATCAGTTGGCATTAATACTATGGAGAGAAGTGATTACAATTTGGAGAGCATGATTTTGCGATAGTGGACCTATTTATTAAACACCTTGGATGCATTTTGAACTACAACAATGGTATTGGCCCCGAAATTAGGAATAGAGTGCTCTTTGAGAATCGCTGCACAGTGGAGTGCCTGTGAAATCTAGCGGGATGAAATTCGGTACAGTGTAATTAAATATTTTGTTTTTTGTTTGTTCAAAATTCTATTTAATTAATTAGAAAAAGGATATTTAATGTCAGGAATGCTTATTCTGACACTGCTATTATGTGATCTAGGAAGTGATTCTGAAATTCATCGTAGTGTGCAGTAAGGGATTGTGCATTTATGTGACAGGAATTCAGAATATTAGTCTGGGGAGTTGAGAAGTCGAATTTAGGAAAAAATGATGGATAATATATAACATTTTTTTAAGGATAAAATTAAGTTTAGAAATATAAAAAACTTTATAAACATAAAATAAACTTTGAGATAAAAACAATCAATTTCCAGTATTTCGAAATAAATATTTCGTTAAAATAATATATTAATTTATAACATAAGAAAATATAAATATCCCCTTTGTTTAGATAAATTGATAAAGACAGACAAAAAATCAAATAAAGTTCTAAATAATTTATGCAAGAATAGAAAAAGCTTAAAATTAAAATAAAAATATTTCTGTTGGGAAAAAAATGTATACAAAAATAAAAAAAGCTACTCCTATAAAAAAATAAAAAAAGCTGGAAATGAAAATAAGAATACTTTTTGTTTTAAAAATATTTTATTGAGAAAAAACAAATACGTTTTGCCTCAATTAAGAGCATTGAGTATTTAGGATGAATGAAACACAAACATACCATATATATGGTATTGTATTTATTGTATATACAATAAAAGAAAAACAAGATTATAACAAAAGAAAACTTGAAATAACAGAATAAATCCAACATTAAATAAAAAACAATAAATAAAACACATTCATACTTATTTACAATATTTACAGTTAGCCGAGGGAGCTCCGAGTCGGGCCTTTTCTCCCACTTGTGGAGGATAAGGCTAGACTCCAAGCTTTGGCCATTATACGGAGGACGTTAGACTGAAAGGATTGGAACGCTTGATGTTCGAAAAAAGAATATTTCTTGCGAGAAAAAAATAAATTCACTGTAAACTGAAGGTAACTTGTATACAACGTTCAACTGAAAACGTCCAGATCGCTTGGTTTTCCTATGGCTACTACTGGGTATCCATCTGGCTGTCTGCAGAGAATTTTACCCTCACTAGACCAGACGTACTTTATTTTTGAAGTCATCCTCTTCTGCCTGGCTAACCAATAAAGGTGTTTATTGACGGGTGTCATAGCTTTATCACATAAACGCGGTGCGAGTTGTTCTCTTCTCAGCCTAGATGGCGTGAAGAGAAATCTCTCTTTGTTCGTCACTGCGACACCAGCTCATCTCTCACTGCTTGTCTGACGAATCTTACTATAATTGGGCCTGGAGTCCCTTCTTGCTTGTAGTTGAGTATCACGACGTGATCAAGATCGTCCGGACTCAACTTGAGGCCCAGACCCGCTGTGACGCTAAGGATGGTGCCAGTTACAGATTCACCCGGCTTCTCCAGAATTCCTCTAATTTCTATTGTGTTTTTCACTTGAAATTGTTCTGTAGAATTCAGACGAATTTCCAACTCGACTATTTTTGTTGTGAAAGATGTTTTGGCATGTGATACAAGCTAATTTAGTCTTGTCTTCTAGTCCTACTGATTTTCCACATAATTTACAATTAACCATTTTGAAAAAATAAGTAAATATCACAGTCGCTTTAAAATGATAAGAGAAGACGAAAATAATAACAATAGCAAAGTTACACCTGTTTGCTTATGTGAAGGCTGACAGGATTAGGCTGTTGCTGGCTATCCCCACTACTCCAACTGGCTGCATCTATCACGTTTATTTTGTCACTAGATTACCACAACAAATAACTGATGTGAAGCGGTAATGTTAATAAGGTATTACGAAATGAAATAACTGAGAAAAGAAAAAAATAGCAGGAATGTCTTCAAGTGACTGTTAAAATAATTTTATATAGCGAGAAGCACTAGTTGAGCTCTCAACTGATAGAGAAATACTCTAAGACTGATTAAATTTATATTACATTAGGAAATTGGTATATGAAGATGAGTTTTCCCTATTTTCTTTAAATAGCTGCTTTTTGGACTTTTTTTTTGGATTTTTTTCCAGCTTCCAAAGGGGAGCATGTCCCCCAGCCCTCCGGCTGGATCCGCTAGTGTAATGAACATAATATTCCATTTATTCTTGATTTTATCCCAGATAAATTTCAAATTTCATCAGAACTTAACTCATCACCCCTATTCCCATAGCACAGTCTCTATCTAGCACCAACCATCTCTACAATCCTCCTAGCAAATTAAAACGGCAGTGGTCCCGTGACCTTTTGTAACATGTATATATTGCAGTTCTGGCAATGGCCATGAGTGTCTGTAGTTGTCGCGGCTTACTCAATAGGTACGCGGGACAATCGTAGGGATCTCCTGAAGTCTCACTTTTCTCTCCACAAGTGGTATGACAAGTCTGGCTTGGAATTCCCCTGGCCGATTGTAAATAATGTATATAGGTATGGCTGCGGCTAAGATGTTTATTTTTATTTTTTAAGAACATTTTATTCTTTTTTTATTTTTATTTTATTATTATTAATATTTTCTTCCCTCGTTATGATATTTTATTTTGTTCTAATTCCGCTGGATATTATTTTGTTATTATCTTATTTATTTATGATTCTGTATATATGGTGTCAATGTGCTCTCTGAACTCTATCATAAGTGTCCTTAATTGAGACAGATTGTAATATTTATCAATAAAGAAGTAATCTAAAAAAAAAAAAAATCACGACTAATAAATAATTACCTGCCATCAGCCAAATTAGAACCAGGGAACAGGGAGCTTAGGAAGACAATGCCTTGCACGCTGAGCTACCCCACTTCCTTCTAAGCAACAAAGCACATTAGAACTTCTCCATACACAGTGTTGCCATTACAGTATAATCAAATATTCCAACAAAAATGACGATTAAACTAGTAATAACAGATGTCCGCAAATCTTGATGCCAGGATTTATAAAATGGTTTCTTATAAACTGTTTCATCTACTTTCATTCATGACATAAAGAGGAGAACTAAAGTTTTCTCAATTGCCATTTTTGAAAATATCCTCATCAAGGGGAGTGGGAATGGGGCAGCCGCTCTTCGCGTCGCTTTCAGGGAATACAGAATGAATTACACAATTTTTGTCAAATCGCCGGCTTACTTAAACTTTGGACTAGTTACCCAGATCAGGACATGATCACCCTCCGATTGGCGATGAAGAAATTGTGCCGGAACTGTGTGACAAGAATACCAATGCGACTAAATTCAAGGATCTATCACTGCTTTATGAAGAGGTTCAGAACAAATTAAATAGGGCATACGAGAGGAGTAGCGTAACCTACAACTTAAATAGACGATTCCAAGAATATAATGTAAGTGATATTATTTGGAAAAGAAATCATGTTCTTTCCGATGCGGCGAATCATTTTAGTAGCAAGTTAGCGCCGTCCTTTACAAAATGTAAGGTCGTAGCGAAGATTGGCTCTCAAACGTATCAGTTGTAGAATATGGATAGTCGTGATGTTGGAAGATGCCATATAAAGGATATGAAAACGAGTCCAGAAGATAATTTGATTTGATAACAGAAAAAAATAAAGAAACTTCTCTCGTTTTTTTTATTTAGAAAAATGGAGGATCGTTAGATTAAAAAAAAAATTATGATTTTGTTTTCTGAATTCAATATTTAAAATCTAGATTAAGAAAAGATTAGATAAAAAGAAAAAGAAATTGAGAGAGGTACAGTAGAGGGAAAAAAATGAAGTTAAATTTCAGACAAACTGGAAAAAAAAAAAAATTAGCATTAAATGAGAAATGTTAATTCTAACTCAAAATTAGTTTATTTTAAGATAATTAGATTTAAGGTATATAAAAATGATGTAATTTAATGTATATAAAAATAATGTGTGTTGTGAATAGTTATGAAAATTTGTAGTGTCGGGCGCCCGATGTTTGGTTGTAGAAGAGTGGGGCCAATGACTTAAAACAAGAGGAGAGAGAGGATTGGTTGGCGATAAGGACAGGTTGCTAATGTTTCTCATGGTAACCGATTCGTCGGATTTATTGAGTGATTGTGGTGGTATGCTTTTTTCGTTTGCTTCTCAATAGGTAAAGAAACGAAATGTTCGGAAGGAGATGTGACCAAAAAAAAGTCATCAGAGGAAGTCAACCCGACTTGGAGAGGAGAGCGAGTCAGCCTGACTTCAAGACGACCCTACATCACCAGCGATACATAAAGGATGATTAAATTACATAAATACACGTATATTTCACCTTTTTTTTTTATGTTTGTATTAGAAATGTTTTTTTTCTTTGTGGTGAAAGTACACCAACTAACCTAACCTTCTCAGTTTAGGAACTACAAAAACATAATATTTATTATTATTTTAATTAATTTAATTTTTAATCATTTATTTCATGTATATGTATATGTATACACACATATATATATTCTATTCTATTCTATTATATTATATTCTTATATATTCTATTTTATATATGTGTATATATATATATATATATATATATATATATATATATATATATATATATATATATATATATATATATATATATATATATATGTATATATAAAGTTAAGTTACTTAATAATACAAGAATTAAAAATAAAATAAAAGG